TCGCCACTGTCTGAGTCATAAATATCCTCCTCTCTATCTCCATCTCCCTATCATTCTCTCCCTCTTTCTTCTTTCCGTCCTTATGTGACCCCTGCCTAAGTGACTGACTGCTGTTGCAAGGCGCTCGCTGATGATGAAGACTAACTTGAAACTACAGTATGTCACATCCTGCTACGCTTGTCACAACTGGTAAAACAATCAAAATATAACATAGCAGCAAAACAGGTGAAAGGGGCCTGGGATGACATTTACATTCACCACACTTAATAAATGCATGATGAGACTTGCCAGAGTCCTCTGAGGTTTGATGCATCTGTCAGTCTGAACCATAGACTGTATATAAAAGATGGATGATGCGTCACCACTTCCTTCCACTATGCAAAAGTGAAGCCTAAATATCATGAATACAGCGGCTGCCATCTTGCAACCAGATTCTGCACAGTAGCGACCGAGTAGTTGGGCTATGTTTCAGACTGCCCATCAAAGCTGTCAAATCAACTGAAATACACTTTTATTTGATGATATAAAAAGGTTGTTAAAAACAAACTTACCAGAAAAATGATCACTTGTACACAAACATCAGCATGATAATATCCCCCCAAAACCACAAAAATCCTCAGAGAAAAATGTACTTGATTTGTAGTTTGAGTTTTTAAATCAGTACATGTCCTGTCCACTAACATGGAGGAGGAAGAGTTTATGACCTATACTACAATCAGCCACCAGGGGGCGATCTATGTGTGTCTGGGAGTTGTCAGCATGTCCATCATTTATACAATCAATGATCTGAACACAATCCAAACATGGCAGATAGACATTTTAACTTTATAGACATTTTTTTTCTTTATCTACATATTTTTCCGTTTCCCTCATGATTCTGCACTAATGGTGTAAAATGAGGTGCTGTATCAACAAAGCACTGCTTAATGGTTTGTTCTCAAAAACTGGGCAAGATAGGAGACAAAACGGGTCAAAAGGTGTCTGACCAGCAACTTTGAGAATAAGTGAATTATTAAAATGTTAGGGCATGCTACCTTACACAGCTAAAAGAAACCATCAGTTTGCTAAAATGAAAACAAACCTTTCTTTCCCCTTTCTCCTTCAAATCTCAAACACCCAGGGAAAAACAGCCAATCAGTGCATCATCTTGGCTTCAGTCTCACAGCCAGATGATTTCCAGGCTGTTACATCTCACGGTGCGGCTGTAAACTGTCAGGCCAACAGACAGATTGATATGTAAAGTCTACCTCTTCTGCTCGGCTTCATTGATTATCAGACCAGTGCCGCTCAATGAGGCCACAGCAAAGGATAACAAGCACATAATCTTCCATGTAATGGCTGTCAATGAGTTAAATTTATACCAGGAAAATAGGCTAGAAGACCTTTGATGAAGTACTTGACCTAATCAAAGATTGTGTCGACGTCTCTGCAAACTCCTACTACTACTTCAAAGGCATTATTTTTTTAAGCTGATTTCACAACTAATATAGTTTTTACTAAAATTCCTGATTTAGTATCTAAGAAGCTGAGAAAATGGTTTAGGTGAGTGTTTGGTGAAAACTTTTGTTGCTGTATGTTCTCTCTTGGCAGGCTGGGAATGATAGACTAACAAAAGGTCTATGGCTGTCTAGCAGGCATCTGAAAACGAGGGAGCAACAGTGGATCTAACACAGGGCTTGATGTTTTAGAAGAGCCTTGAGCTGCAGGGCCTTTCTTCTCCTTCAGCTCCTATGTCTCATTGCTCCCCATTTCTTTAATGTCATGTCATGCTTTTATCTTAGTATGATCCTCTTTCCGTTCCGTCACCTTTACTTGGTCTTCATGCTCTGAATACCTTCAACCAAAGAAGCTTTTTAAAGCTTCCATAATCTGGAAGCTTGAAAAGGAATTTAAAAAGATAAATAACATACAGTGTGCATACACTGACAGGGACACCTTTTTATAGTAACAGGATGTTAGAATACTGCAGTGGTTAGCTCTACAGCCTCAATGCAAGAAGAGTTCGAACCCTTGTGGCCGACCAAATCCAATTTAACTGAGGTCAGAATGTCCTTAACTCACTTTTAAAATCATAAATATAACAAAAGAAATCATCAAAAGTGTGGTGTCCAAGAACCTTTCATTAGCAGTGCATTTCTATCATTGTGTACAGGGTTTTAATCTCTGAATAGTGGAGGCTAGCACTGCATTACATTTCCAGTAGCTCTGGTGTGGGTCTCCTCCATCTGACAACCCATCTGCAGCAGGTCAAACACGTGATGGCCGACCTGCTGGAGTTCAAACTTCCCTCTGGGGCAACCTGGCATTTGAATCTAGCCACTACAGAACAAAACAGCTATGCTTTTCAAGATGCTCAACATTTCTTTATTCTTTATTTTAAAGCCTGAATGACTAATTTGTTGAATTTTGCTTAACTGCAGCAGGGTATCATTTCTGTGCGAATATACACCCACCTTTGCTGAATATCACATGTTCTTATTTTTATCTTTGAAGCTATTCTAGAAGTTTAACCACAATTTAAAAGACAAAAGAAAACTTGAGCAAAAACAAAAAAGCTAACAGATGCTAGAAAGATGGACAAGATGAAAGGTTTTCTACATGTCTCTCAATGAAAGGGGGCCATCCAGACTGACCACTAGATGAAGATTTGATCATAAAAAAAAAAATTCTGTCATGGTTCGACTAAAGTGTATATTTGCCTGTTTCAAATATAATTTGTGATTCTGATGTATAAATATATTGTTTTCCTGTATTAGAGCATTTGCTTTTATTGCTCAAGAAAAGGTTGGCAACATCCACGGGACATCCCAACCAATCACATCTCCCTTTTAAAATCTGTTCTCTACCCTGATTGGTGAAGCAAAAGGTATTTTTAGATCCAAATATTCAACAAAAGCTGGCACTTTTAAATTGAGACAAGCAGACAAGGCAACACCACAGCAAAATAGCATAACACGGCAGTGGCACAGCAATGCCCAGGGTGCCATCAGCCACCATCCAACCTCCAGCCTCTCTACAGGCATCACAGTCAACACAAGGTCTCTCTGAATGCACCTTATCTTCTAAAATGCTGAAGAAAGCCAGCAATACTTTATCACAGGGAGCAAGAACGCAAACACGAGCTTTGATACAGTGAGACAAGCCTTTGTTCCCAGAGTAGAAGCACTGTTAGCACACTTCATAGCTCAGCTGCTGCAACACTAAACAGATGGACCGTCTGTCAAAGCGCTTCTCACTGCAAGTCCCCTAGTGATGCCGTTTCCAAGGGGAGCAGAGTTACTGGTCGCACAAGACTTGTCCAGTATCCTCAGAGGAAACGCTGACTCACACACTGGTTCACTGAAGTGCCCTCACGTCCAGATGAGCTCATATATCAAAGAACAGTTAAGTTGCGTGTCAAAATGATCATGTCATCTAACAGTATCATGCATGAGTGTGAAAGCTATAGTCGCCTTGAGGGGGAGAGATTAAAAATGTTGTGGTGCAAGATGACAAACTGAGGGTCATACCCTCCGGGCCTGAGCCAAACCCTCCTCCGATTAGACTTATTTAATGCAAAAAAAGACACCTGGGGTTCCCACCAACATAGAGGCATAACAAAAACAAGTTTAATCCCTTTAAATCAACATAACAGATGTAACAGGGCGAGTGCGCTTATTTCAACATTCTGAGGGCAAAAACAAACTGTGTTGCTGTGGCAGTTGTGTCAGAGCGGTAATGGGTAGTCAGTCAGTTAATCAGCAACTATTTTGGTAATATTGTCATCTTGTTAAATCATGCTTTAAGCAGAACTGGCAGTCAGTCCCTGGTTCCAGCTGTTCTAAGGTGTGGATTTCATGCTCGTCTTTGTCATACACAGTAGTAAAATGCAAATCTGTAGGTTTTGGGCCAGTGGTCAGACAAAACAAAACTTTTTAAGATATTAGTTTAAGACTGTGAAATTATAATGGCCATTTGTTTTGAGCAGTTTTCTAATCATTTATAGACTAAAACATTTAATTAAATCAAGAAAATTATTAATTGTTAAATAACTGTTAGCAGCAGTGCTGTACTGCCCCTAACTGTGGAAATTTCATAGACTATGTTAGCGACAGTGGTTCCCAACCTAGGGGCTGGGACCCTCATGTCTTTGGCAGATAAAAAGTGCCATGAGACAATTTTCCAGACTGAACATAAGAAATTTGACCTTTATAACTGTTGCTTGATATTGCACAGTTGAAAAAAAGCTCGAGTTGATTGTGTCAAGCATAGACACTAAGGTCAAGATTGAACTTCCATGTTCAACTACTGCATTACAACCTCAAAAAAAAAAACAAAAAAAAAAAAAAAACACATTTCTATTTTTGCACACACAAATTTTTTGTCTATGATGTTGAAGTCATTCAGCTTCAGACTAGAGAAGAAGGCGTTCTCTGCCCCATATCTGGACATAAACAAAAAAAAAAAAAAAAAACATTTCGATCTTTGCATGCAACTAAGGAAACTGAGATAATCATAACAGGAAATGACCAACGTAGGAAATCCTCTTGTTCCAGAACAATACTGTAATATGGATTTCAAGATGTCAGGGGACAAAAATGTGACAATAAACAGTGTAATCCACTCTTTC